AACTAATACATTCAATATTTTACACACTACTGATAGTTCAAGTGAGGATATTAGTGGGTTCTGTTTGGGTACTTTCTTGATATAGGAATTCTTTGGTGCTTGTTTAATACTAGTCTTTATGGGCATATTATTTAGTTTTTATGTGTTGGCATTCTCTTTATATTTAAAAAAAATGAGCAGATGAATGCAAATGGAGATACATTTCTTAATAGTTTCAAAAGATTTATAATGACTAACATGACTGTCACAGAAAAACAAAAATCTTTATTGATAATACAAAATCTTTTGAATGGCTTTCTACTTCTTAGTCAGTCTGATGCCAAAGCTTTTTTAATATATTTTGCTATTTGTCTAAGGCAGCTGTATTTCAAAGGCAGCACAAATTCTTGTAAAGGTTTGCTGTAATATTTTTTTTTAAATTATTTTTGAAAAAAATATATTCTGGTTCAAGGATCATAAGATGTGAGAGATATTTGGTCCTTGTAATGATTATATCCCTATCGAAAGTTGCAAATTCTGTTATAAGGTAGTTGGTCTAGAGATAAATATGTCGTTGTTGGAAACTTATCTTGTGACATACTTGTTGATATGGTAAAGGGGAAATTTTATTTTGTTATAGTTTATCTGTAAATGTAGCATTTTTGGTATAAATATATTTCGTTTACAAGTAATGGTAAAGCATATGTGACAAAGCAGTAAATTACCATTGTTGTATTCTAGTGTTTTCATTTGTTATTCATATGTGGAATCTGAATAGTAGTGAGACTTTGGGAACAAATATCTTTGTGATAAAAGGATTATGCACAAATATAATATGTAAGGTACATTTTCTACTGGAAAGATTTACCACTTAAGTTTTTTTTATAATATGCAATAAATAATAAATTATATACACATAATTTTCTTACCCAAGATAAGCATATTGATTAATTTTTATTCCATATAGCATGTCAGTGAGATAGTCCATATCATTAGGTAACAATTGGCTGTATGTGAAAAAGGGATTTCTGAATACATTAATCTATAAGTGTGTGCATTCATGTTTAAAGGTGTGTTTCATCTTATTTATGTTAACTGAATATAAAAACATAATGGAGTTCCTCGGAAAACATCATGATAATTAGTAGTGCATGACCTCTCTATAAGATTAAGACTTTATTTTGTGTAAATCTATTCATTTATCACTTTACCGAAGGGCATAGAATAAGCCATCATGTAAAGCCTACCCTTCATGACAGGCATGTGTATACATGTCATAACTCGCTCAAGTGTGTGAGCGGGTAGGGCTGGCTGTACAAATCAAACGCCCTGCTGGAAAGGCTAGACGGTTGCCCATAGTATCCAGATTGAGTGCCACATAGAAATTCTAGCCCTGATAGTTCAAGGTTTGTAATCCTCTTATACATACTAACTTAGCTGATGAGTAATTTTCTTGGAAATCACCGTTAACTGTGCCTAACTACTGAATCAATGTGAATTTCAGAAAAAAACAACAACTGAATTTTAGGAAGGAGGGAGGGATTCAAATTAGTTCCTGGCAGTTACACTGGGGACAGATGTCAAAACTACTGATTATATTAGTTTCAACTTGATTAAATTTGTCACACAATACAAAATACTGAGATAAAAAAAAAAAAATTGTTTCATGGCTCTGACAATTACCTGTAAGTGTCTTCCATTAGACCTATATAAAGTCATTATTTGCCTCAGCTTCATTCTCTATACATACTAATATATTTTTTTCATTCTATTCAATTGTAAAAGGGAGGAGTACATTAGATGAAAAACCCTGAACAGACAGTCATTTAAATTACAGCATAATTAAAAAATAAATTATTCTCAACCCCTCATCAGCTATTTATCCCCCTCAGCTGAATGTATTGACATTTACCCTTTTTATTTATACAAAAGAAAAAACAGCCATCATAAATGTACAGAAAAAGGAAACCCTTAATATCGTAGGTTGGCACAAAGTCATTCTAATGAGGGATATTTTGACAGTATTTCAAAAGTTTAAATTGCTAAATAGAATCAAATGGACGACACAATAATAATCTGAACTACAGTATATCTTTTGGCACATTATCTTTGTAAAAACAGCCTTTGCTCTGGTTAACTTTCTGCTATGCTTATTCAAGTTTATTTTCTTTCATTATCTGTATTTACATTTTTTTTTCTAGTACACTTATTTCTAGCATAAAAGACCTGCCCTTTTAAGTCTGTAACTATCAATATATCATTGATATGCTAAACTACATGAAAGGAAATCTCTCTCACTACTCAGTTTTTAGAAAATATGTATTCCTACATAAATATTTTCACATTCATACAATTATGTTTACTTTCACTAAACATTAAAGTACTGCATGTGATATTACTTACTGAATGGGATATGGTTGTTTCATACTAGTAATATTCCAGTTTCTGGGAATATTGCACTAGATTTTTACTTTCAAGATTGTCTTCTAAATATAAGTACTGTATATAAATTCAAACACAAAAATAATAACTACCACTGAAAGGGTTATGAGCATATATTTATTTTCAACTTACCAGTGAGAAATCTTACATTAGGACTTCCGAAGCTGAGCCTCATATTATTTAGGTTCATAGTTTCTTCTATGCCATCGTCCATGTGTCACTTTTTAGTAACCAATGCCTCTAGCCTACCTGCGAGAAAGCATCAACAGGCCTGAGAGTAAAAGATGTGTTCTCTGGGAGGTTGGGACAACAACTCATGAGATAAGCACATAACATTATCTCTGTAAACCTGTGCTTGAACTGATTCTGAATGGAATGTTGAAAAATAGAATAGTGAAAGTATCAACTTCATCTGTGACCCTGATTCAAAAAGGAATTACCATATTTAATCTGCTGGTTGCGGATGATATGGCACGCATGCCATGTTCACAAAAAAAAAATTTATATATATATATTACTACACATTTCAAAAATGACATGCATGGTTGAAAGAAAATACCTAATTTTTTTTTTTATATATAATGCTTTATTACAAAAACATCTTTTAAATATTTACATGGAGTCACAAAGGAAACCAAGGATTGCGCACAGCATTATGAGAGACGGTACCTATTTCACTCATACTGCGTTACAATGATATTCAATTGAAAACCTTGCTCTTGGTATATTATACAAGCTATTGACCAAGTGACATCCTGCTCACTTGTCTGATACCAGGAACCTTGACACAGAATCAGCATAGGATCGCTTCAATCTCTCATCCAGCTGGTCCTGAGAGAGCCACTGGTGCTCTATGACATCCTGCCCTGGCTGTACGTTTCCACTAGCTTCCCTGACCATTCCCTTGTAGAAGAATACCTGGGGGAGAAGACTCAAAGTTAGAAGAGAAGGGATTAAGCATTTTTTTGATAGCTGTGTTTCTGTTTATGAATTTGCAAGGTGGATAAAATGCATAGAGTGACTTCTTTCTCTGAAGATATTTACATTCTTTGTAACTACATATCTCTTAATATACTGTAGCCTTACATGCAGCTTAGCCTAGTAACTGATCATCATTGAAAATTATTGTTTTCTCTACAAAGAAAATGTCATAATGTTGATATATACTATGATGTTCCAAACTATTATACATATACTTATTCAAATATAAAGATTGAAGTATGTTTAACAATACTTCAGGTGAACAATTAGGTATGATTTACCCCAATTCTCTATGCAGTTACATTAACCAGCTGGATTACAGTCACTCCATGAGTGCTGGGGCGATGTGATGGTTTCTGCTGAGTTCTTTGAGCTGGAAAGAGTCTGTATACCTTGTATATGGGAAGGAGTCTGGGATGGTGTGTAAAGTTTTGCTGATATAGACTGTAATGATCAATGGGATCTTATATATAATGTGTTTGGCCTGTGGAAAAGTGTAGTCTAAAACCCTACAGCTTGGTTGAAAGTGAAATGTGTGGTGTTGTGATCCAAAACTATAGCATTGAATGAAGTAGAAATGTTATCTGTCTCAATGTACTAGGAGGTAAAAATTCATATTATTTATTTATTTATTAATGCAGATCAGAATGTCATGCACCCCCACCTTTGCGCCAATGAATCCATCCTTTCGAGCCTGCTTGGGGAATTTGTATTTATAATATCCGCAGGGAGCATTGCCAAGAAATTTCACTTTTAAAGATGTACCACAAGTTTCTCTGACCACACGTTCACAAGTCTGAAAAGGAGAGAATTGGAACTATGTATCAACAAAAGCTAAATTTTTCCATATTTTGTGACCACCTCCCAAAAAATCATGTTAATCCTTTATGGATCATGTATGCTTCTGCCATGCTTAGAATGCTCTCTGGAAGTCATGATAATTAAGTGACATCAAAATCTGCAATTTCTTTTGAATCTCCTTTTCACTTTCAAAATAATGGTGTCAGAGTCTAAAAGGATCTTCTTCCACAGTATGGTGTTGGAAGGATCTTCTTCCTCAAAATGGTGTTGGGTTGATCACCAATTATGAAAATTGGGCCAATGGCTACAACAAAGTGACTAAAAAGTTGTCTTCACAAAGGAAGAGCTCACAATCTCCAAGGTCAGTGACACAAATATATATAAGTACAGATTTTCCTTTCCCCATAAAGTCAGTATATTTGAATCATGTATGATAAATTCGAAGCTTTACATGATATGGCATTTACTTTGATTCTAAGCTCTACAATGTAAGATAATCATATTCCCAAAAATCACTAGAAGTGAAGTTTCAAGGAAGTCCAATATTATATTGTGTTTCTATTTAAAAGGTGCTTTCTAGTGATAATTTTTTATAAAGAGCCAATCTGTCCCTAGATTTCACAGAAAATAGTCACAGATAAGACCCAGCCATCTCACACCACTGAAACTTGGGTCATCATTTTCAATATATCTAGAATTGATTCAGGTATTTCACTAACCATCTTACCTGTCTTAAGGTTTCTCCCGGTACCCAAGGAGCTTGAGGTAAGACCCACTGGTGATCGCTGCCCAGCTTCTGCTTGACTACTAATATCAGGGATCTTTCAAGGGCTCTGTTTAAACTGCTCAGATCATTTTTCTTATCAGCCTCTGAAACAATAACAAAATAAGCTTTCAAGTAAAACTGTTAGTACACTTCTTATAGGGATGATATAACGTTCAAATTGGCAATGGGTAGTTGCACTATCCATTGCGCTTTTGTTCCGTGAATCTTGTTTACACTTAGATGGCCCCACAAGCTTGAAGTTATTAAGATGTCAATTAGTAGGCTTACCTGACTTCACCTGATATCCCCATTCTTGAATTTGGAGAAGACAGGTTTATAGTGTTATTAACTCTTTATGTTCGAAAGCATGATGCATATGCTATGGACATAGTTTAACCTTTTCTATGAATTTCTGAATCTCTTTTATAAGATACTGCTATCAGTACTCTAATACCATTTTAATAATCACAATGTAAATAATAGTAATAGATATAATCTTAATATTATTACGAAGAGAAAAAAATCTCCATAATCTAAGGAATGGGGCAATAACATGAGGTCATGCTGGGCTACTATTTGAATTTTTTGTGGCCGAGCACTTTGGAACCACACATACCTGCATACAAAGGGTTAATATCATTACTATCATTATCATTATTGTTGACAATGGAATTATTATAGCAATTAGAAGCAAAATACAAAAATCTTTCAAAAAATCCAGCAAAAGGATAAACTGGGGAGTAACTGACTCCTTGGTGACCAAACCTTTGTGGAACCATCATGTGTTAGCAAAATTAATAAACTAAAATCATAATGGACATGAGATGCATGTACATGCTATCCTGACATCAATGGGTTAAATAAAAGATGATATCTGATAAAGGCTAACAAATATTTTGCACATATACCCATCATAATTTAGCTTGGACTTCCTTACTTGGTGATAAATTGCCAAAATATATCTTAAGTTACTTATTGCCTTTGCTTGAGGCTGACAATTGGTAAGCACTGCATCACTGGATTTAATGATAAAGATTATTTCTAATACCTAAAAGCTTTGCTCTATGTACTCTTTCTAACCATTGCATTAGTATTTTTCCCTATCTGTGCAGAGAGCTATTCTGAACATTTATTGGAATAACAAAGAGACAACTATATCCGAGACTTCCTTCCTAAAGTCTTGACACGAATATATGATTCCAATCCTCAAAACTATATGCATGGGGAGGAGGAGGAGGAGAAGTAGAAGAAGAAGTAGAAGAAAAATTAATACCAAAATTTAAATAACCCACATATAATCAAGTTGCATTATTTCCAGCACATAATATTTTAAGAGTGGAAAAGACTCACCTGTTGTAATTGGAGCTGGTGTGAAAGCTTTGAGCTCTTCAGTACAAGCGTCCTCAAATTCTACAGCTGTTTGTTTCGAGGCTTCTTCTATGTCTACTTCTTCTGTGTCTCCCAATTTCAAGAATTCTACTCGCATCAAATCCTGTTCATGTCTTAGTTCGTGGTTACTCTTCAGGGAGAGTTCCTTCTCCACTGTGGCTAGCATCTAGAAAATAGCCCAAAGGTTAGTCCATTTGTTTAGTTAGCTATTGTTTAACTACACTGAATTCACTCTCACACTAAATTTTAGCCTTCGCAGAAACTATGCTTCCTTAAAATAAAACAAAAAAACGATGGTTTAGATTTTGCAGAAAAAGAAGCTAAATCTAGCTTTTACCTTTGCGGGCCAATTTTCCCTTCAGCTATCATCTTGAGCGGCATCAAAGGTTCATATCTGGCTTTCCAGGATTATGTTACTAAAACTGGTATAATATACTTGTACGTTTATTAAACTTTTAAAGATTATAAATGGTGATGCTGATGGAAACAAACTCCATACGACACTATTTTCCTTCACGGCGATCATAATATCATAGGCTAATAATTTTTCTAGTCAACCTGTGGGGCATTTATGATCATCCCAGGGGACACAATTAGCCTGGATACTATTAGTATGACACCCTTGGGCTTTTAATTCATCACAAAAATACAAAAGTAAAAAGAAAAAAAAGTCAATTAAGTGTAAGAGATCTTTTAAGACTAAGGACTGGTTCACAGTCAATCATATAAAATGGGCAATTTTAAAACTGAAAATGCAAATGTGCCATTGCCCATACATAGGAGTGTGGTGGACTGCAAGCGGGCCCCTACTTTAACACATCTATGAATGATCTACTTTCTTCAGAAGTCATATAATTTTGGCCAGCTCTTAGTCTCACTAATAGCTCACTCTACAAAAGGACGCATGACTGAGTCTGGAAAATCACAATATCCACTTTCAAACATCCTTTTGCCTTCTGTTAATATGTGACTGCTAAAAATGTCAGTTGCTCTTACCTCTGAATATTGTGCTTCGAGGGGAGTCATTGGGGGGCAGACCACTGGTGGTCGTGTGATACATGCTGCTCCAACAATCTGCCATTTACCTGTAGCCTCGGCTGCTGTGCTTTGTCTTCCTGTAATGTGAAAGACGTACATAAATGCCTAAATAATTTCTCAACTAACAATTCTTTCTTCAGTCCTATTACAAATGAGACATAAAATAGAGGAGATACTGTATAAAAAGACCCAGTAAAATATATATAAATATTTTGTAATTGCCAGATTTTGGGGACCATGAAGGAACTATCCAAGGCTGCTAAGAGTGATGAAAAAAAGCTGGTTACCATTTGTCATTCACCCTTAGTGCATGGATGGCATGACTATATGCTATGTCCTATGTAATATGCTAGGTTATCTTACGATATTAATTATGTTTACACAGAGATGGCTCCACAAGTGCTTAGTCACTATAGCATCAATTATCAGTCCTACTTGTCTCACCTGTTTATCCTTTTCCTTGATATTCAGCAATATTATTTATTATGCAATAATGTTTATTACTATTATTACTTTAATAATATTTTAACAATCATAACACAACTACTAATTATAGCAGTACTAATATCATACCTTAGAAAAATCATTTTCCAATAAATTCAACAAATGAGGAAATCAGGTGCAGTCAAATTTGGATATCACTTTATTTGGAATATTTGTTTATAATTATAATACTGAAAAACGACAAAAACAATATACTTCTCTATTCTTGCATATGCTTTTTTCTTGTTTTAGATCTTAATCAAATTCATATATGAACGTCTTTTATCTGCTGTGAGTGGAATCCTATTTGAAATAGATCTTGGTATTTTCAAGTAAAAAAAATACTACTTGAAGGTACTTGGCTTTAAATTTTGTTTCTCTGTGAGTCAATTTTCTAATGCTTTAATCAAGTTTAGAACCAGTTTGCTAACTTTGCAGTTTGTTCATGAGATCACACATGCACAATCTTCTTACCCATGGGCACATTTTCTAAAGAAAACTACCTCTCCAGGTGCATGCATGTGCACAATTTAAGGTCAACGCACATGCTAAATTTCTGAAATTCAATTAATTGCATTTATTTGAAAGATATGGCCATGGGGATTTTTTCCTTAGCATGACGCAGGATAAGTTTTCCTTGGTTGTTTATTGCCGTTCTGTCATATATGTTAGTTGTCACGTAGGTCCTTTATTTGTTTTGTCCTTGGTATGTCTCTGTTATTAGTTATGCTAATGATTCCTCAGTGCATCTTGTGGTTATCTCTCCAGGCTACCAAGTCATACTCTAAAACAATATCAGGCACTTTTCATGTGAATTTGTAAGTTCCAATATCTAGTTGTTCACAGGGGCACAGTGTAAGTATTACATGCCACAATGGCTATTCAAAACAAAATATAACATGTTATTTGTCATCTAACACCTATGTAAAATGTGCTAAGACAGCCAAATTAGCCTTTTTGGCCCTAAAACAAAATACCACTGACTTGAAATTTATTTGATTTTATAGTTTGTTCTTACTGCAATGTTCAAGAAATCACATGCACATGTTCATGTATAATTTGCAATGCAAACTGGTCTCAAGTCAAATCATATGTGCATACACATCAGCAGTACTCAAGTGCACAATTTAGTTCAGGTAAATCATCTCTTAAGCACAGCAAAGTTTGTAAACTGGGTATGGAAAACATCAATAGACAAGTAAATCAATGACATAAAAAAAAGACTTGTGCTTTTGTGTAAATGGTATGGATTAGGGTTTTATGGAGAATTCTCTACATAGTAAATCTTTATGGAATGGACGCATTAAACGGCACTAAGCTCATGCAAAGTGAAGATGAAATTTTTGTAGAGGACAAAAGGGAGTTGTGATTGGTACAAGAGATAATCTGCAGTAATATCACAAATAAAAGAAAAAGATTGTGAAAAGTGACGCATAAGCATAAGGCCATTCGGTGCTCTCGAGTTTCAGCTCTATTTTGCCCAGTCACAGCAAGTTTGTGATGTGGAGTTGGGGACTTGTATGGTAAAGAATTACCCTCTACATAAATGGTTGCCAAAATATAAGCCTAACATGTGGCTCTTGGAAAATTACCAAAATCCTTTTTCAGCAACCTTCTTTGTCTGACAGTAATAAATACACACTGCATTAGACATCATACATTCTAGGAGGACAGAGTTTGGTTCTCTATTTTAAGATATTAGGACAGGTGTTTTCTAAACATTCAAAACAAACTATAGGTGACATTCATGTTACAAATCATAAGTAATCCAGCAAAACCAATACTCTTAGTTTTCCAGATAATTTGCTTTCAGTATGAATTACCCACAAAAACATTTTAGAGGTTGAAGACCGCGACGCGCGTAGATAAAAAATGGACACCGCCATCTTATAGAGCGGGAAAATTAGAAGGGGATAGCTTAGTTTAAGATGCATATAGTCAGCTAAATGACGAAAATATAAAAATATCTTTACCAATTATTCAGGATACAACCATTTCAAGCAATATCATGGCTTCCTAGGATTCCGCAACAGTGAACAAATTCCCTAATGTATATTCAGCAAGATAGAACTGGAACAGGTTTTCTATTTGAGGATAAATCTTATTACAGTGCTTTCAAAT